ACATTATAACCATCTATTCGGAGATTAGATACTCATACTTTGGTATTTTAAAACTCAGGAACTCAAACACCAAACGGAGTCAAGCTAAATGAAAATAGCTATAAATTGACGTAAAAAAAGAAAAAGAAAATACCCGATTACTCCTTTACCTGTATTAAGGATTATAAATTAATAAGAAAATTAAATGAATAAAAGTATATTCATTGGTTCGTTAACAATTTATGCAATTTAACACAGTATTAAGGATAGGCATGTGACACTTTGGTCACTCACTCCCCTTGCCGTGATAATGTTTGTATTTATATGATGGCATAAAAAACGTAACAAAGCGCAAAACGTTACATTTATTTGTTTTCAATATATGAACTGCGGTTAGTATTCATGACACGAGGATGTGATTTGTGTTCCTTAGATGTAGTTATGATCATCTGATCTATAAATAGCAATGAATCGGTATTGTACGGCGGACTTTTTTTTTTTTGTTTAAAGGATAACATTTTTAAGTATTTTATATAAAATTCTTGATTACTGGTTTTCTAAAAGTGCAAAATAAAAAAAAGCGCGTTGAAGTTAGATTTTAACTAAATGTAAACAATGTCGCGTGATCAGAAATTTGCTATATTAACAAATTAAGTATCCAATTTTTAGAAAACTGGATGATCCTATAACATTGTCCGTGGTTCTGTATCTGACGCGGTTACTTTATTGGTTTTCTGTTGTCAGAATTCTTTGGGTATGAGTTCTTGTTTGCTAGACTAAGTATATATATATATGCATAAAAATGGAATTGTTCCTTGGTCGGATGCGCGTATGAAAATTTTCTTAATATTCCCTTACACAAGCTTAATTGTTGGTACGGTGGTTGCCGAACACAGATGATCAAAACTGACGTAATAATGGGTCGGGAGTTATCATGGAGTAGAAACACCAATAAAACACGTTTATTTAGAACTTAAATTTCGAGAAACCTTCCGGGAGTCATTTGCTCATAGTTTTTTTTGTACTATTATTATTGTTGTTATTATTATTTTAGGCTAATAATATTTTAATGTCATTTTGATTAATTGTAACTTACTTTTCTCTTATCGGTATCAAAACAAACAAACCGTTCAATTTGTCTCGCCTGAATACGAACTCTCGAGAATGTCACCGTCTGCGTCACAATATATTAGAAAATATGTATATATATGTGTATATATACTTTTTTTTTTTTCTAACTTAAGACGCACATGGTAACCCGGGGCAAACAATTTCTCCGACCAAAAGTTCGCTCCCTTTGGGATCAGTGATCCCCCTAGGTCAGTGACGGAGTTTGTGGCGGTCTTTATCAAATCGGTCACGTAATTATCTGTTTGAGTTATGTTGCTCTGTCTTACCAGAATTAACTTCATTCCTAAGACGGTGACTCACCGTCCGGGACGATGAGAGAAATACAACCAAAACAGATAACGCCTCAAACTCGTAATGGAGTTCATTTAACCCCTTATTAAACCAACATAGCCTCGTCTTTCTGTCGTGAACATGATTCACAACCTTTGCATTTTTTCCATTACTGCGGCAGAATTGGCCTCAAATGGTTAATAGGATTTATAATAAATATATAGAGGACCAGAGTACAATTATTTAAATTAGATAAACATCTGTTGTCATCTCTTAAGCTGTTCTGCTTAACTTGTTCTATCGTTCTTTAAACTCTTTTTTTCTCTTCATATAAATCTTAATTTTTCGCCTTTATAATGGTCTATGTTTTTTTCTAATATTTAAGGTTCGAATAAAATCTATCTCGCTTAAAAGAAACTTGTCTAGATGCTGTTTTTTTCTTATACACTTTTTATTTAACATTTTTAGGTTTCTCTTTACTATATATAGAAAGATTCTTAATGCGGGTAAAACATGCTCAGGAAAAAGAGAATTAAGGAGTTTTCTCAACAGTTACTCCCTGAGTGAGTATTATTTTCAAGTGTTATATTATTATTTTTTAGATATATCACTAAAATTTGACTTTCTTCGTTACGAACATCAAAATATTTCTTTAATTTCTCGTTTCGTTCATTTTTTTTTTTTATTTTTTATAGGGTAGAAATAGATTCTAAACCATTATTAGAATCGGTCATTCTCGAGGGAATTTTCATGTTCGTAACGGAGATAGATTCTTCTGTTTCTTATTATAATCATGCTGCTTTAAAAAACCTACATTCTTGCCTTTTGGTAAATCGGCAATGGTGTGAAAGCACTGTACGTATTTTATGGCGCCGACCCTTCAGCCCATTTCATAACGGCGGTCACAAATTAATAACTACTTATTTGAGAAGTTTGGATGTTGAAGAACGAAGAGACTTAAAACTAAAAGGCATAAAATTACCTTCTGCCTCACCGATTCCGTTATTTAATTATCCTTCGTTAATTCGACACCTTGATTATGGAGAAATGTTATATTCTGTTGAAGTTTGGTGTAGAAAGTTACCTAAAAAAAGACCTGATTCTGTTATATCTATAATGAGAGTTTTGTTGAGGCATTTTTTACATAATGCTGGTCCTCTTTCTTCATTAAAACTTGCTACTCTTGGTGAAGATTATACCGATGAGAAATGTATGATATTGACTGAACCTGAAATTAAAGGTTTGATTACTTCTGTGCGAACTCTTTCTTTAGACGGATTTTATTATAGCGAGCAAGGTTTATTGGCTAAACTTCCAGAATTATGCCAGAACGTGGTAAGCGTTTAGATAATTTTAACAGCATGATATTGATATAACTCTTGATACAGATAATTATTATAAAAACTTTTTGATATAAATTATAGGAACATTTATATCTTCGTGGGTGGTACGGACACCAGCCATATAAAGCAGATACCACATCATCCATGAATGACTCTGCTGCAATTTCATTACGAAGATTAATTAAAGCACAAAAAAATTTAAAAACCTTTGACATGATAAATTGTAGAGCTTACCTTGGCTACATGATATCAGCATTAGATACCCAATCAATTACATTGAGGTCAATGAAGTTTCGGCTAGTAGATTTTAAAGATTGTGGTCCATGGGAAGGTTTGGCATCATGTATTAAACTAAAAAATTTAGAATTTTGGTTTTGTAAAGGAATCACCCATAAAATGATTAAGCCCCTCTTAGGAAAAATATTTACAGAATTGGAAGAAGTTAAATTATTACAATATGGAATTGGATGTGAAGAATTTAATTATTGGGTGAATAATATTAATGGAATTAGTAGCACTAGTAACTGTAATACTTGTACTGTGGTGGATGAATATGAGCCCGAAAACACAAAACTTTATTGTTAATAAGTTTATAGAAAAAAAAAACAAAAAAAAACAAAAATGAAAAAAACAAAAAAAGAAACAAAACAGGTTTTTTTATACACATCACATTGTTACACAAACACGCATTTACATCTTTACATTACATTTATACATTTAAAAATTAGATATTAACACATTCAAAGAAAGATATCCTTGTAAATTTTTACATATCAATTTTTTCGTTTTGCATTTATATAATGCATAACTTGATACCCGATTTTTTTTTTTTTTTTAGTATCATTATCATAGTAATAATTAGATTTGGAACATTATTCTAGTAGTATATTCATATTAAGTAAACATACATATATGTGTATCTTTAGTGAAAAAAATTCATTGTTTTAGGTTTACCAAAAAAGGTCATTTAGTTTGTATACAGTAAAAATAAAGATCGTAACGTTAAAATATGAATGATATATTACGCGGTTAAGCACGTGATTAGAATTTATGCGAGTGACTTCAGGGTTTGATTAGATTCGAAACCGGCTTTATTTTTTCATATCGATATGTTAAACCAGTGTTGACATTTTGATGCTCAATTGGAAAATTTTTTTCATTGTTCCATTGCTTCATTGTAGTATATACGTATTTAGTACATATTATAATTGTAAATTATCTAAAACAAACCAATTTAAATAAAAGAAAAAAAAAAAGCATCATCGCTTTATTTCCCGTAGCAAATGCTTCATTACAAACCCTAGTTTAAGCCGATTAAACTGGTTTTAACATATCGATATGAAGAATCGAACAAAGATCTGATGACCTCGAATTACAAATGCTATATAATTATAAATACTAATTTAGTACATTTCTTTAATTAAATGATTAGTTATTTTTAGTATAAAGTGTAGCAACCAACAATAAGAACTTCTTATCTTTTCAGTTATAACGCACTTGATTGTTTGAAGTCTAATGTTAATGAACAGTTAGAATAATGAAAATCAGGTCAGAATATGAAAATCCTAAAAGAATTTAAGTAGTAATATTGAAAATTCAAAAGAAAAATTAGGACATATTTAACAACTTGGTCACGTTGCACGAAACAAAAATCAAAGGAATCGTAAAAGAATCAAGTTCGATGATTTTTACTAAATTCTCCTGGAATTGGTACGTGCGTAACCTGGTTGAGCTTTAAATTTATTGGTACAATAAAGAAAATTTTAAAGGTTGGTGTTACATTTAACAAATTACGGCCTCATTGTTATTACGTCAAAAATTTAGCATGTACTCAAGTACATATGTAGTCCACGTTTAAGGGCTACTATAACGATAACGATAAATCACCCAAGCCAGATTGAGTCCAGTGCCCAAATCGCACAGATATTTATTATTTTATATAATCCGTAATCGTATGTTCATATGACGTTAATCTTCATTTTAAACTGTATGCAAGTTTCTTAATCTGTAATCACTTTATCTTTTCTTGCCTTATGCATACAGTTATTTGTTTATATTTGGATTTTTGTAAATGTTCACATGAATATATCGATATTTTTCTTTCCCTTAAACGACGATATTTCAAAGTCGAATATCGAATCATTGAGGCATCAGGCCACATTGAATCGAATGTTATAATACACTCATTTCTTGGAGCATATCCTCATAATCGTTATAAAAGAAAAACAAAAGACTGCACTTATATTACTGTAACCCGAAAACGTTAGTTTTACAAGCATGAAAGGTTCTATTTATATACCATCGGACATAATTGAAGAAATTCTTCACTTTATTCAAAACGAACCAACCAATAAAACTGATCATTTAAACAACGAAAGTTCTACGTTGTTTAATTGTCTTTTAGTGAACAGACAGTGGTGCAGGCTTGTTATACCACGACTTTGGCGTCAACCATTTTTATATGTGAGGAAAGGGAACCCAAAACTTATTTCAACTTTTTTAGCTTTTCTAAATGACAAAAGTCGTAGAACTCTTTTATCTAATGGAATCACTCTCTCATCCCTATTTTTGAAATCGGATTGTCGTATACGGCATCATAATTTCCATTTCTACAAATTCCACAGATCGCAATATCAATCAAATTTCAATTATGCTTCATTTCTTAAACACTTACATTATGATTACATGCTATCATCTATTGAAGAATGGTGTAGTTATTCAAATCAATCAGTAGGAAATGCTATTTCCCTCATCACAAACTCTTTGTTGAAATTATTTTTGGATAATAATGTTAAGTTAATGAGCCTTTTCGTTTGGCCAAATCACATACATTGGACTCACTATAGTTCAAGTAGATATATGGAATTAGTTGAACCTGAAGTTAGTGGATTGTTATCGGAGTTAAAATATTTACATATCGAAACACATTCTAAATATCCATCTGCAAGATTTTTCTCAAAGTTGTCACGGATAGTTAATGTTGTAAGTAAATATAAATATTGCATATTATGTATTTTGTAATGTTTGTATTATTGAATTAATCTTGAATAATCTTATAGGGAAAATTATATTTACGTACTCAACTGTTGGGTCTTATGGGATTTCCGAATGATTTGGAGAATGAAATGGCACGTAACATTAGTATGCTAATTAATTCACAAACCAACTTAACCTCGTTCACACTTTCAAATTCAATTCGATACACTTCTGATTTTATCAAATCTTTGTCACCTAACGTTCATAATATTCAAAATATCTCATTAATTGAAACAAAAATTGATGAAATTGATTCATGGACAATTTTATCCAATTGTATAAATTTACAAAAATTGGAAATTATTAAATGTGCTGGACTGAATGTGGAATCAATTATACCTTTCGTATCAGCTAACTGGGAAACCCTGGAAACAATTCTAATTGAAAATAATCAACCAATTGATGTCAACAATGAATTGGAGCAGTGGGCAAATAAAAAACGTAATATAAACAATAAAATTTGATAAATTTTCAAGCTAGACAACACATCGTCACGTCGGACTTTAAATTTACATATTCATAATTATATATGCGATCAGGTATTTATCTATTCATCTCTTCTGTCTTACAAAGTTAAAACTTAATTCTGCTGTATTGTTGCAGATTTTTTTATTTTTTATATCATTCAATAAAGTTGCACCAACTTAAACATCTACCAATTCTTTATTAAATTTTAAAATGTTAAGGTCCACGAGACTTTATCGAGTACCGTTTGTGGTTGTTGTCTTAATTAGTGAATTACAGTCTCGCTGATGTTATAGTGCACGAGGTAAATAACTCCCTGGGTATGGTATTAATAACATGGATCTAAAAATTAAAAAGCAAATTCTCACAGTATTAAAGTGTATTACCCAATCCCTTCTAATTATTAATTACAGTTGACCCTCTCAAAACAGATAATCTATCAAAAATTAATCTACCAAGTCCGTTCAATCAAATAGTTTGTTATGTTTTCAAATCCGGTATCCTCTCATAATACCGATTTTGAGAGGGTTGACTGTATATAAATTCAATTATTTTCTTCATTACTTTTTTTTTTCCAATTTGCGAAATATACTAGTGAAATAACACGATTACATCATTTCAAAAATGTGCGTCGTCTATAGGTGCAGGAAGATTTACGTCACTGAGTACCGTAATTTGCGGCAAATAGTACCCCCTTATTAGTGTACCCCCCACGATTTGTACCTGGGATTAATCAAGTATTT